TAGTAGTAGTGGTAGTAGCAGGAGCAGGAGTAGTAGTAGTAGTAGTAGTAGTAGTAGTAGTAGTAGTAGTGGTAGTGGTAGTGGTAGTAGTAGTAGTAGTAGTAGTAGTAGCAGCAGTAGTAGTAGCAGAAGTAATGCAACTTGGTAACATGCCAGCGCCAAAGACATCTTTAGTCGTGGCGTGCTGTCTATGAGGAGTGTGTGCTTCATTGACCTGCCGTGCCTGTGCAGGTGGTCAGGGAGTCCGAGCGACGGCGCTTCCGCGGCCAGGCTGCATATGGGCAACCTGACCTAGACATCTGGCGTTGAATAGTTCGAGTAGGGCTCCCCGGCGAAACTACTCTCATTCTCGCCTTCATTGTTGGTGTCGCTTCAAATTCAGCCTCACTCGCATCCACATCTTTATGCTGATCTCTGCGTCTGAGGTGACCCCAAGATCGTGGATCAGGTGCTAGAGCTGGATGGTTTGTGGGCGGGGGGCTCGATGATTTCTAGCCACTCGAACCGAGATCTGATATCTGAGTTGAGAGATCGCAAAGGTCAAGCAAAAGTTCCAGCTGGATGAGAAGCGCAAAGAGGCTGAAGTCCTGTCTATGGGTCATATGAGTTGGCTTGCTTGCTGGCCTACAACCTCAACCAGAAGCATCCTTTCTGTTGCTGTTAACTTTCTCACGTTGATTGTCCGTTCAGCCGGTAGTGTAATGTGCTGGAATTGTGGGTGTCAACATGAGCCCAGAAGACTCGGCGTTCGACCCCGTTCTCTCCCCGAGCATACTGGGCCGCTGGGGCGGCAGCAGCAGCGGCAGCAATAGCAACAGCGCTAGCAGCAGCACAAGGGGCGGGACAGTACTCTTCGCTGTTTGTCATGAAAGCACAGCCAGCGCTGCTACACGTTTCAGGTGAACAAGGTGCAAAGCCAAATCACCGAGAAGAAGAAGGCCTCCAAGGGCCAAGATAAGTGCCCGGCTCTCAGCCGTGGCTCTGCAACTCTGGATTGGAAGTATTGGTTTCTACGAATTGCTGAAAGGCAGTTGCTGAATGTGTGGCAGATGCCCTTGGTAATCCCGAGAATGCATTTTCGCTTCGGGAAAGCACGGATCCGCAGGCCTCTGGTATTTCGAGCGTTGAACTTCCCAGAACCCCGCACGCATCCTCTCAAGCCAAGAGGTGAGGACCTGCTGCAGCAGAAGACGGCCCTTGAGGCTATTGACAGAAGTCTTGACTGTGACAGAGCGGGAGGTATGGCCTAGCAGGCAAAACAGCGGTACAGTGTGCGCACACATGTGAGAACAGTGAACCGAACTGCTCCACTACTAGAAGGCTAGAGGAAATATCAGAATCTTCCTGAGCATGCTAGAATGACAATTTTCGGATTAACTTGTGAAAGAGCTGTTTGAATGGTCGCAGCCCGGAGGTTTGCAGGGCAAGACCCTCGTTGCATGGCCCAAGACTGGAGTTCATTAACCTTCTTTCAGCCCTAGCCGACTCCATCCCAGGCCCGAATCTTCCGTAGCCATTCTCTGGTACGGCTCAATCCCATGTCGGCGCCAGGGGGAGGCAGCAGATTTCGAGAAGGTCGTGGAAGAGACCCAAGCCAAGCGGGCCACTCTGCCATGGTTTTGGGGAGAGTGCGGGCGAGGAGGTTTCGGGCTTTTGGTCTTTGGTGGTTTTCAGGGAGTCTAGTAGTGATTGAAGCGCATGAGGTTAATTAGGCTTCCGGAATGCGCCATGCAGCTCCTCTTCTTGACCTAATTGGATTGAGGATTTCAGCAATTCAGGGTCCTTCTGTTTGAGTCTTGCTGACCTTTCCCGAAAAAGTTTGCAGTTGGGACTGCAAGGAGAGCCTATGATGTACAACATACGTATTTGTGTTGCACCTGGGCGGCCAGCGGCTGGCACCATGGCAGGACAAGCTCCTTGGTGCCATTGGAAATCTGGCCGCAACCTCGTTGCTCCGTGTGCCTATTGTGACCACGCCAGCGCGGCAAGAGAAAGCCGCAGAGTCTCACCATACCGTGCTGCCAAAGGTCCACGACACCGTTCCCGTCTCTCAAGATGAGGACAAGGACAACAAGGCGCGGGCGAAGGTCTTGTGCAGGGATGCCATGAAGCTTGCTTTCCTGGACCGCTTGCGTCGCCATGTGAGCGTCTTTTGCAGAAAGCCCTACTGCATGGGTCATGTCAGGTGGTTGCTACCTGGGGAGTTCCTCGCAGCTTCGAGGGCAAGACCTACCAGGCATCGCTTATGAAAAAACACGACCTACTGCGGCTGCCGTTGCTGATGACCACGATGGTATTTGTGATGAGGGTGATGATGTAGACTGAGGGTCGTGATGATGCGGGTGATGATATGTATGCTCTGCAGTCCAAGGCCCACTAGGTCGACGGCTTTCTCGTGCAGGCAAACGGCTTCCGGCCGCACTTCGAGCTGCTCGAGATGATCGGTGCCGTCGAGTTCGACGCCGGGCTTGAGGCTGTCCGCTTCTTGAGCGGGTTTCTGAAGATGGTTCTCTTTGAGGCCATTCTGGGCTTCAGAGGGAAGTTTCAGGGATTTTGGGGCTCGCAAACTTGCGACTGGATCTCGTGAGAGGTTGCCGGCCACCGGGGCTACTTCTTGTCGGGCCCCGGTGTGCTGCTGAACCAGGCGTTGATCAACTATGGCCGGGTGCCCACTTGAGTTCAGCTCTGCCGGTTTCGCCGCTTCTCGAGCGGATGGACGTTCCGAAGTCTTGAGGGCTTCCAGTCTCGGCTGCGGGCTTTTTGCAGTGAAGTTGTACACGGTTTCCGAACACCGGGACCCAGCCCAGCTCCGTCGGTTGTGATTTGGAGGTCTGGCCTTCCTCTCGCAGCGCGGCTACACGCCCCTGCTGCCGGCTTGGGGATTCTGCGGCTTCAACCTCCGACCTGATATGTTGAATCATTCCGAGGCAGCCGCCCTTCTTCATGAAGAAGGTGCCCGGTTTTGTAGTTTGGCGTGCGAGGCAGTCCGGAAGGTCCAGGTAGACCGGCGCCTGAAGAATTGTTTCCTTAGCTACAATTACATGTGATGTCCGAAGCCTGCATCTGCTTCAGGCAACATGGGTAGACCAGAGCTGCCATAGTATAGCTTTGACGAGAGTGGCAGAACCCGCATTGCTGGGAGGATCTGATGGCCAAAACGGCTGAGTTGGCAGCGGGCCGAGTAACTCGTGCCCCGCGCATATCCGGATGCTTTCTCAACGGCCGGGGGAACGGTGGGAGGCTGAGAGCAACTGGTCCCTGCAAGGCAGACTATGACGATGTCTTGTACAAGGTCATTGAAGACAAGGCAGGTTGCCGTCAGCCGGAGCACTGGCAAGCAGAAGTTATACATTATAGCCCTTTGTGGTGCCCTTATAGCAACCCCTTGCCGTTCTAGTACTCCCTGTGAACGTGGGCTCAGACTCGTGCAGAGGAGCATCCCGAGCTGGACAAGTACCTCATCGCTACCTCGGACTGCCTTCGGCACACATTCTTGGGATGAAGGGTTTAGGGTTTGACATTTTGTGTTCTGCGGAGTGCACCTTGCAACGCTTCAGGAGCTTCCGACGGTGTCAGTGTGCTCTAGCATCCCCAAACTGATGGATCGATCCAGGAGCAGCCAATCTCCGCGTTCCATCGAGGTCAGACGATCGACAAGGCACAACAGTAAGCCTGTCCTGGAAGGTCGCTTCCCGGATTCGAGGGTTTCACTCTAGGCGTCTTCGGCCTTGTACATGGGGGTGGGGGGCTTGTCACCTTCATCAGAGGAACCCTAAACCCTAAACCCTAAACCCTAAACCCTAAAGGCACCGACTCAAGCTCCACAACCCGGGAAGGGTCCGAAAACCCTGAAAAAACGGAAGCCATCGCCATCAGACCCGCTTCCCGCTCCGCTACGTCGGCTACTCGTCCTGCTTCCGCAGGGAAGCCGGGAGCAGCGGCCGGGATCTCAGAAGCTGAGAACAAACGAAAAACTCACGAGGAAGAGGACGAAGAATTGGAGTTCCTCATAACGAAACTGCTGCTCGTCGTTGTAGTTGCTGCTGCCACACTTAAGCCCCTAAGCACAGAGCTGAAATCTCCAGCGAGGTCGGGATATTCGCGGGATCTTCCGGGTTCACCAGTTCGAGAAGATCGAACAGTTCGTGCTTACCGATCCAGAGAAGCGCCCGCCTTGGCTCGAGGATTTTGGGCCGGTGGCTGCCGTTTTCTTTTTTTTTTCCGCGCAGACTTGTAGAGATAAGAGAGTCTTGGGTTCGGTGAGCTGCAAAGGGGCCTCAGCGAGGTCTTGGGAGGAGCACGAGTCCATGATCGCCATGGCACAGGAGATCTTAACACCGATAGCCCTAAACCCTTGTCAAGTTCTGTTGATCCATTGCTCCTGTTCTCACAGACCTCATCGCATGCATGAAAGGAGTTCTACCAGAGCCTGGGCATTCCATATCGAACCGTGGCCATCGTTTCTGGGGAGCTGAACAACGCAGCTGCCAAGAAGTGCGCAGTGAAGTTAGGAGGTTTTCCTTACTGTGATATTTCCGCTTCCAAGCTCCTTCGGCCCGAGCCGTGGATGCACGTCACCACGCTGCGATGAGGTACGATCTAGAAGGATGGTTCCCAGGCGACAACGAGGGGAAGGGCAAGTTTCGGCCCCAGCGGAGCTGGCCTGGGAGGTTGTGGGAAAGCTGTCGAGTTCTTGTCTTCAAGCAGGGCACGAAACCTGGACGGTCGCCTTTAGATAAGTCCGATGCCTCCGATGCTGCAGGGGGTTGAGGCTACCTAAGCATGGACTCAGGTACAGAGAGCTGGTGTCTTGCTCGAACTGCCTGGACTACCAGGCGGATCTTCTTCCAGCAAGACGTGTTCTTACTGAGGAAGCGCAAGACTTCAAAAGCCGTTCTGGGAGTCCGGGCTTGCCCGTTCTGTCTATGATGAGAGTCCCCGATGGCAGCATGGGCGACTTGCCAAAAGTCCTTGCAAAGCTGCGAAACCGGACGCTCAAACAAAAGGCCGCAAGGTCTGCAAACCTAATCAAGACCACGACCCGAACCCATGACCCCCATCCGAAGCGGCGGGCCCCAAACCTCGAGCCTCAAGGCAGAACCCGAGGCCCGAAACTTAAACCCCGAGCCTCCAGCCCTTGGCAGGCCCGGGCGATGCAGACCAAGTTCGGCTACCGGCCAGAGGACCCGCAGATTCCTCAGCTGGCAGCCTGAAGATCAGCATGTGCAGCAACAGATAGATAGTGGTAGAGGCATGATCCGCATGCTACGAGGACGACGAGCTTTGTTGTCGGTAGTGCTGCTGCTGACATTGCCACTGCCGCTGCCACTACCACCACCACCACGACCACCACCACTGCTGCTACTACGACTACTACTACTACTACGACGACGACGACTACTACTACTACTACGACCACTACCACCCTTACTACCACTACTACCACTACTACCAATTACTACTGCTACTACCACTACCACAGCCACTACAACTTCCACCACCACTACCACTGCCACTACCACTACCACTACCACTACCACTACCACTACCACTACCGTTCTACTGCTGTGTACTCAGAAGTGAGAGTCTAGATGGCAGCCCAAGCACAAGGTAGATCAGACTGAATCGCAGAATCTATCTGCGAGGTTTTGCCACATGCTCAACAGCACGCTCTGCGCGACGGTCACAGCCTCGGTACTGCACGCGTCCAGTTACAACGCATCGCAGGTCGGTACATAATATGCGTGCACATGAATTCCAAGACAATGTGTTCGCGATGTTGCGTGTTGTTACATTGCCTTGTCGTCGTGGGGTGATGAGTGAAGGCTCGCTACACACATAGGAGATCCCTTTGCCGTCAGCTGTCGTGTTTGTCTTGCCGAACTGCAGAGCTTTTATTCCATCGCCATGTCGTCCCCCCCAACTCCATAAACCTTGAAAGACAACAAGCATGGTCAAGGTGATCATAGCTACAGCTACAGCAACAGCACCACCACCCAACCACGAGTAACATCAGCAACGAGAAGGCAAGAAGAACCCGTTTTTACTGCCCCTAAGCCCTAAACCCTGAACCCCAAACCTCAAGATGCCCAGAAGGGCAGCAGTCTCCCGAAGCCCCTAAGTCCTAAGCCCTAGAGATAAACCTAAAGAACTTAGACCCCACACCCCCGATCTTGAAATCATACGTGGTAAAGAATAGGGTTATGATGATGATGAGGATGTGCACGATGAGACACTATGGTGCAGGGTGGTTGTTTCTCCTTTTGACTGCTTCTCTTTTAGCCCTAAGCCCTAAACTCTGTCTCTACTTTGGGATGTCCTTCACAGGGATTCTGGGGCGGGTCCGAGGAACGAGCCCTGTGCAGCATTGTTGAGAACTACCAGGAGCAGGACGGCGTGCGAGCGCGGACCCTGGGGCATGCTATGCGAGCATAGTATGCACACCGGATCTGGGCATTGAGAAGTCAGGGTTCAGGGCAAGATGCTGAAGCTGTTCTCGAAACCAGCGCAAAGAAGCCTGAACCCCCACCGTTGAAGAGGCCTTTCCAGCACCGGTCCTGTTGCTGAACAGGACTACACCCTAGCATGTCCCATCCTAACAGACTTCCGAAGACAAGCAGCCTGTTTTCTTAGGTCCCTCGTGCCTTGGTTCCTTTCCTGCTGGGCCAGGACGGGACCCTTGTGATTCTTTGTCACTGCCGCATAGTCTTCGCCTCTGTTACCAGTCCTCGCTCTAACGACCAGTAGCTGTAGCAAGACCATCTCCATTCTTCAGAGCTCCTTCACAAGGCATAATATGGTGCAATATGTGAACAGACCACGTGATGTCAGAGATGTCAGAGGTTCCACGTCGCGCTCGAAAGGAGTTCTTCCCTTTCGTGAAGACGGTCAAAGAAGAGCGACCTGCCGCGAAGGGCAAGGCCTCACTCGAGACATGGCGTTGTTTGAGAAATAGAATAGGATTTCGGGGCAGAATATGTTCTGACATATGTAACTATTCTACCCATAAACGGGTTATCAGGTGATACGATTGACAGCGACGAGCAGAGCAGAATCCATTTTTGGTGGAACCCTGGCCCAAATTCCAGGCCTTGAATCCTCTGAAGCCCTGTTCTCGCAAGCCATGAGCTTCAAAGGCTTGGGCCAGCAGTGGAAGGCTTGTATTCTCGAGAATGCCTAGAAAAAACCACCTCCAAGCGGGCCCTAAACCCTAGAGCCCCAAACCCAAGCCCTAAACCCTCAACCCTCAACCCTAACCCTGAACCCTAAACTCTGAACTCCGAACCCTAAACCCTAGGGTGTGAGCCTCCGTGGCATGGACGGCGTACAGTCTCCTGGCCTTTCGTAGACAGACGGCCGTGGGGAGAAACAAAAACCCTAAACACTGAACCCTAAGCCCTAAAAACCCTGAAGCCCTGAACCTTAGCCCTTGTCCCGGAGCATTGAACCCGAAATGACCAGGCGAAAAGTCCGGGACTTAGAACTCTTTGCCAACCTTGCGATTAAGTTTCAGGAGTTCGGGGGTAGGCGTCTAGGGACTATCTTTTTTTTCTTTTTTTTTGTGAGTGTGGCAGTACTGAGCGATTTGGGTTTTCGGGGTTCAGAGTTTTAAGGTTAGTCTAAGGCTTCTGAACATCAGGGGTTCTGAGTCTGTGTGTTCTCTGCTGAATCAAGCACACCAGGGTTTGTGGTTTAGGTTTTGGGTTTTAGGGTTTTAGGGTTTAGGGGTTTAGGGTTGAGGGGTTTAGGGTTTAGGGTTTAGGTGATGCTGTCTGTTCTCGGCGGGAGTTGAGCCTAGACAGATGCCGGAACGTGAGAGATCGAGTACTTGTTTTACGATACCGACGTGCTGTACACGATGCTACCTGGGCCTTGAGTCTGCAGCCGCTCTCCCACTTAAAGTTCCAGGAATACGGCAAAGATTGAGCACCGAAGGCCCCGAACCTCAAGCAGATGCTAGATCCTTCACCCCTCCGCCCTCTACCTCCGGTAGCCTGATGAACACACTAAGGCAAGAAGTGAAGGCTCAGAAAAAGTCCATGTTCCTTCCACTCGCACCTTGGGAGCAGGGTCCAAACGCGGTTGCCGGCAAAGGGTCTACTAAGCCTACAAGGTGTACGAGGAAAGGCTCTGTTTCAAGGGCTTCGAAGCCTACCGGCTTGCAATGGTGGTCGGTGACAGGCATTGTGCGTAAGTGATCCGGGCTTGCGGCAACCGCGGGGGCAGCACCCTGTAACCGCCTCCCAGAATCTCACGCTTTGAGGAGGATCCGAAGATCGGACCCAAAGTTTACCTGAAGGCGCCAAGCAGTCAACCTCTGTCCAGGCCTCCCCAGAAATCGGTAGGAGGGCAGGATCTCGCCGGCCTCATCCCTCCTAGAGCCATTGCTGTGCCAGGGAGGCCTGGCAGGCGAAGAAATTCGCAGCATTAGATCTCCAGAGCCACCTGCGGTTTTGGAGAGGGAGCGACTTGGAACTTCCTCCTTGGCCTCCACTTTCAGGGTGCTCAAATATCCTTGTTCAATGTTTTTTGCTTTGGGTGAGAAGAATGCTTGCTCTCCTGCAGCGTCTGCTGCAGCTTGGAGCCCTTTCGGAAGTAGCAAGAAGCTTGCCACTCACGCAGTTAGTGCTTCTGGAGCTATCTCCACAGGACAGGCGAATTATGCGGTGAAAGGGGCGCAACTTCGATTCCCGAGTTGTTTTCTTTCTTGGGTCAGGACTCGAAGCGGACACAGAGCCGGCGAACCCGTGCATTTCCAGCTGAGATAACCCGCAGTGCTACAAAAGCTCAAGAGTTCGTGTTTCAGTGCCTCATGCATGCTAGAGCAGCTTTGCGACAAAGTAAGTCAACACAAACAGGTCGCCTTGCCCAGCAGTCAAAGACCCTGTGCAGATACCCGATGGCTTCACGGCCAAAAAGCCAAGGAGTCGGGTTCAATTGGTTTGCAGTATCCTCGCCACGTCCACGCTGGATGCCATGTTCTCGAATCTGGACTTGCGGAGCATGCGCTCCCTGCAGTCGCAGTCGCGATCCCAGCAGCGGCTGCTAAAGTCACAGGCTGGGATGATAAAGACGGCGTGGTTCCTGAGATCCAAACCATTCATTGGAGACTTTTGGGACACTCGCACATGCAGACCTCCTTTGCTACCTAGATGCGATCAAACACGCAGTGTTGCTCCAGCGCAAAAGCAGCCTTTCAGCGGCATCGCTTCTGTGAAGAGGGAAGGTCGAGGTGAACCGCGTCGCAGCGCAAAGTCGATCATGGTGAAATCAACTAAAGAGACGTGACACTACACACCTGGCCTTGAGATGGAGAAACGAGGTAAGTTCATGTGCCGAACCTTGCAATCGAAGTAGCCTTTCAACGAGTTATCGCAGTTTCGTCTTCTTACAGCTCTTTCTCACTTGGATGTAGCAAGGACCTGATGTGATAGTATCAATGCAAACCGACCATCTGGGACGCGAGCCTACCTGGTTCAGTGAATCAGCCAGCGAGGTGCGAGATGTAGGGTTCTCGTTCAGGAGTGCCTGTAGTCACGAGAACGAGAAAGTAGCGTCTAAGCCCTGAAGCCTACAAAGGATTCCTCAGCATCGCATCGGACCCCATAGGACCTACTGTCGGGAATGTGCCGCCTGCAGGCATCTTTGCGGCAGAGGGCTTTGGCATCCCAACCCGCCGCAAGACCTTTCCGGCAAAGCTTGCTTTTTCATGTTCAGATTAAGTATGTACGGACCGACATTAGGAGGGAATTCTTGTTCTTGACTGTGGTTTAACATCACCAGGTAAGCAGCCACCAGATCAGTGGACTGACATTAGGAGGGAATTCTTGTTCTTGACTGTGGTTTAACATCACCAGGTAAGCAGCCACCAGATCAGTGGCGCCCGGAAGGAAATACCAGAGAACGAGGCCAGCGAGGGGAACGGGGGCTTGACGTGCACCCGGCCCTGCGAGTGTGGTGTGTGTGAGCTTGTTCCAGCCAACAGCAGGTAGATGTCCTGAGCCGTCTGACTTTGGAAGAGCTGCAGCAGCTCGTGACATCGCCGCCGGTTCTGGACGAAGGCCTTTTCTCGTCTCTGAGCGGACTGAGCAAAGTGTGTTGCAACTTACATGCTCTGTGTTGCACTCTTCCCGAGGTAGCTTGAGTCTGTACCTTCGGCAGCTGTTGAGAGAATGTGTAGATTGTAGAGACGACATACTGTACTGTAATGTAATGTCATGTAATGCGATGCATGTGTATGCGTAAAAAGACAACACATCTGTGCGGTTCTATTGCTATAAGTAATATGTATATGAATATGCGGAGATATCGTCCTAGCTTTGAGATTTCCTTCGCTTGTGCAGGCGACTACCAGGCCAAGTTGACCCTTCTGAGCCCCAGCCGGGTGCCGCTAGCATCCAGCGGTCCCATTCATCCACAGTGGGTCCAAGTTCACGTCTACAACCTCAGCGAGACCCTCGGCTAAAACTTTCTGGCATTTCCCCTGGTGTGAGAGCTTCCACTGTGCTCTTTGACTTGTGGAGGAATTTCGTCGGTGCCAACCAGATGTTGGCCTTTGCCGAAAGCGGCCCCGCCTTAGGCGGCGCATTCCACGTGGGTGTGGAGGCAGACGGACTTTGTGCCTGAACACGCGAAATTACAATACGCCGCCATTCAGAATTCCTCTACACAATGAACCTCGAAACCCTCAACTCCCTAAAAACTTAGCCATAATTGAACTGTACTGTTGCAGGTGTTCGGAGCCGAGTGGTCTTATGGAGTCTATGGCATCGCTTGCGATCCGCCGCGTTCAGAGACGGCGCACGTCTACGAGTGCAGCGTTTACGTAGGCTCGACAGCCGCTTGGTGTCCAACCGTTACTATAGCATCAGACTACTAAAACTCCTGTCATTATCATTACAAGTGTTGATCATTGTTGTTGTTGTTGTCGGTATTGTCATTATTAGTTTATCACCAGTCTCTGCTATTGTTGTTACTGCTAGTCCGCCTCGTGTTATTGCTCTTGGCACACCAGGGTGCCTTGTGCAGCCAACGAGGTCAAGAGCCAGATGGAAGTTGCCGACATCCTCCATACGCTCTGCCAAGAATGGCGTGGACAGGACTACGATGTCTTGAGTCACAATTGCTGCAGCTTTGGGCGAAGGCGCGATCTGTTCTGTTCCTCTCTCCAAAATTAATATAGTACCCGAAATAGTAGGATCCTTATTATAAGGACCCCAAAATAGGGTACTACCGAAGCTGTGGAAAGCCCTCGGTCAGGTTCGTCGAAGCGCTTGGCGTGGGACCCATGCCGGACTGTGCTCGCTTTTTGTGGATCTTCGAAGGCTGCGCAGGTTTTGGGTTTCAGGGTTTAGGGTTTAGGGTTTAGGGGTTTAGGGTTTAGGGTTTAGGGTTTAGGGTTTAGGGGCGCCAGATGGAGGGTAGCCTATACCCTTACCACTCTTAGCTTGTCTTGAAGTGATTCTTCCGCTGCTAGGCCGAGATGACTGTTCGTTGCCGAAGGTGCTGTTCCGAATCCCAACCTACCTATCTGAACCCGTGGCGTTGCCCTAAAGTCATTTACGTGTTCTTTCTTTCTTATTGGCCTGAGCAACGGCCGGGCAGTCTTCAAGCCAGCCATAGAACTTGCTTATGGGACCCTCAGGAGTTGTGCTGCTACCACATCATCCAAAGCTCGTATGGCTGACCAGTACCACTACTAGTCGGTATCGCTTCCTCTTCGCTGAGCCAAGAAACCCTAGCCTAAGCCTCTGGTTTAGGATTTGGGGTTTGGGGGTCTAGGGTTTATGGTGTAGGGCTGTGCTAAGCCCCGAAACCTGGCTCCTCCAAACAGCTCAAGAGGACTGGGTCGACCGCTTCGCGCGGACGCTGCATGGGGCAAGGGCCGGGCTCCAGGCAGCCCAGAAAGGAACGGTGTGAGCGTTTCGGGTTGAGTTTTTGATAGCGTTGAGGGCTTATTGGGGGTATATAAGCGGGGTTGAGGGTGCAGGGTGTTCTTAGGGTCGATTGTTTGTTTTACGGGGTTTTGAGAGTGTGGTTCTTTAGGTGGGTTTACGGTTGGGGCCAGGCTCTGTGGTTGGAGTTTCGCGAGGTTGCTTCGCTGAATCAGGGTCTGTGCTTCAAATCTGAGTTCAGCTCCGAGGGTATTGAGGGAGGTAACCGGCGCTTGTCGCGCAGAAGTACCATGAAGTACCGCTGCACATTGACAGTGACGGTGTGTAGAGCTTGCGCCGCAGCGCCTGGTGTTTACATGTGTTTACACTTTGGGACATCAGTTTTCGACACCTCGTAGATAGGGTTTTGACCCTGTAACCCTGAACCCTAACATCTCAAACCCCTTGACCCGTAGCCCCGCTAAACCCTAAGCTCCCCAACATCCGAAGCCCAAAGCCACTGAAGTCGCCAAAAAGGTCCGCCAAAATGTATATGTATTTAATAAATACTTCTATATTAATGATTATAAATAACTATAATTAGAAAGAGTTATATATTAATGATTCTAAAATAGATATGATTAGAAAGAACATAAGCTGTTCAGGCTGGGGGCCACGCCTTGGCGCGCTACGGTCAGCACGCCGGCCTTTGGGCGAAAGTTGCTGTAAGAGTTGTTTTGGAGGGCACTCTCGTAGAGCTATTTTTGGGGGTCGGGGGTAGCGAAAGTGTTCCTACACTGGTTACTTCAAGGTGCTACAAGAAGCTGCGGAGTTTATTTGCTGTTCGGCTCTTCTTTCCGGTGTCAGGGCTTGGATTTCAGGGTCGGCTGATGATTGGGGCGGGAAGGCCGGGAATGGGGCGCATGGCCGGCGGACGTAACGTCCTTGGCAAACAAACCCTAAATCCGAAGCTCTTGAGGCTTACGATAAACGAACCCCAAACCTTAAACCTTTGTTTTGGGGCCAAGCTGAGGCCCTGAAGCAACGAGCTGAGGGTTTTGGGGGTGGGGTCCTGAAACGAAGCCTGCTGCAGGTGATCGCTTGCAAAAGGTCGTGCTCGAGGTGGGGGCTTCAGAAGGGTGTTTGGGGGTTAGGGGTTTAGGGTTTAGGGTTTTGGTTTTAGGGTTTTGGGGGCTGCATCCAAGGAACTAGATTAGATCCGTGACAGGCCGTTTCTAAAACTCGTCTTGTGTTTAGCTTCGGCACGAATCATGAGAGAGATCGAGTCCACGCTGAACGTTAAAGCTCCTGTGTATCAGGACTATCATTACGGTCGTGATGTCCACATGATGACCGTGACGGTGAGCATGCCGATTAATGTTTGTGGATGTCACGGTGATGATGATGGTGATCTGTAATTAAGCTTATACATCTGGGCTGTGAGTCTGTACGTGTATCAGCATGATTGTAAGTCGGAGAAGCTGGCGGCTTTAACCCCAGGACGTTCCGGTTCTCTACCGAGTGGCGAGACCCCACGTCGAGCGAGCCATCGTGCAGACGCAGGCGAGGGCTGCGAGGTGTTCGGTTTCGGGACCGCATCGGGGAGGGTGAGTTTCGAATGCCGTGCTGTTCAGGCAAGGCTTTGGCATGACATCCCGGGGGGTTCCCGACAAGACTGATCTTGTCGAAGAAGCCTGCTTGTGCTCCGGCTCCGCATATTCCACACGGCTTGAGGGATCGTCCAAGCCTAACGCGCGAGGTGTATGTCGTGGAGAAGGGGACGCAGGCACTGCTGGTCCTTCTTTCATAGTCCTCCCCGAGCCACCTGAGACTCAAAAATCGTAATTGGTGCACATCGCTTGACAAACAGTTTCGAAATCTGGAATCGGATGGAATCTGGTTGAAGCAGTCGGAAGCTGCGAACGCAGAGCTGTCATCATGCAGTCTGCTTGCAGAGCTGAAGTTGGAATCTCGTCTCAGCAGAAATCAATCTCTCCGGCACGCTGCAGCACTCAAGCGGTCAACAGGCAAACATAGAAGGCACACATCTCTAGGAATAGAGTAAAGAAACTGTTGTCACTACAGAAATCAAGGCGATAATGACAGTAGTCAGAGTATGCACTCCCCGGTGAAAGCCCAGCAGGTGTGCGATAAGATAATCGTCGCGGGTTGGTTGCATAGCCCGAGAAAACCCGAGCAGTGACGCGAGCAGCAAGGTCAGAACCGTGGAAATTAAAGCCCGAAAATGATGATCATCTGTGGTTGCTGGGTCTGAGAGTATCGCAGTAAGGCATGGTCCCTCACTACACACGGCTAGACGGATCTCCGATCCCTTAGTCGAGCATTGGAGGTTAAGCAAAAGCAAAGTAGCAGGTCTGGTCCCCCCACAGCAGAAATCTAATTTCATAGCCATGAACCGACTTCGTCTTGCTTTAGTCAGGCCGGGCAGGTGATCCACAAGGCCGTGGTGCACGATGTGCCCGTGATGGTCGAGACCGGTGTAGAGACCGCGCGCCCGTATGTCCAGCAGGCCGAGCGGGGTGTCGGCTTCCTGGCAACTTTTCCTGAATCCTTGTGCCGGATGTGCAGGCCGGGCAGGCTATCCACAAAGTCGTTTGGCATGACGTGCCGGTGATGTATGAAACGGCACGGCCATATGTGGAGGAGGCCACCGGCAGTTTCGGTCACTAAATCATTCTTCTCGCGAGTGTCAGGATTGGAGGCCTAAGCCACAAACCCGAAACCCTAACCAGACTCCCGCTGAAAAGGCCGCCCGCGCAGCGCACAGGGCCGTGGCCGAGGAGGCAGCGGGCACTGCTTTGTACATGGATAGAGGCACTCTGAGCTCATACAGTATTTACATTTGCAATGAATTTGCAACCTGGTTCACTCTTGGTAACTACTCACAATCGATAAGAAACCTCCTTCACTTCTGACCAGAACCTGAAGCCATGACAACAACAGTTGCAGAAGTGGCAGCGGCCGCAGCAACTGCAGCAGCACAGAATTCGAACTTGTTTATAATCGCATGACAGTTGCAGCGCTGTGGGCACCGCAGCAGCAGCAGTTGCAGCAGCGGGGGCCTTCCTGTCGCCTTACTCTGCGCCTTGGGCGGGTCAATTGGGCTCAATGAGCATTGAAGTCGCATTAGCAACAGCAGCACCAGCAGCAGCGGCATGCAGCGGCAGCAGCAGCAGTAGCGGTAGAAGTCGCAGTAGCAGTGGCAGTAGCGGTAGCAGTATCATTAGCAGAAGCCGTAGCAGCAGCAGGAGGAGGAAGAGGAGGAGTAGTAGTCGTAGTAGTTGTAGTCCTGGTTGTCGTGATTGTGGTCGTGCTCGTGGCCGTGGTCGTGGTGATAGTAGTAGTGACAGTGATAGTTGCGAGGGTAGTCCACTAGTCATCATTATCATCACAATCAGCTTCGCAGTAGTCCGGTAGGATTGCATAGAAATCCATATAGTGAGCTGATCTTCGTCATGATCATCGCCAAAGCAGTTTATAGCGATAACGATGGTAGAAAGGACAAAAGCGACCATCACCGTCGTCATCACTGGGCTTCTTTCCTCAACTGAACCCAAGCCCCTGGGAGGCCCCGAAGGCCATCGAGGCCGTGAGGCCCCACGTGGAGCGGGCCGTGACGAATGCATGGCTCCCTGGGTTGCAGCCTTCGGAAAGGAAAGAGAGGTTCGGAATGGTGCTTAAGGTTGGCTCTGTGGTTGAGGGATCTCGGGCTTTGGGTCTTTTGCCTTGCAGGCTTCTGGGCTTCGGAATGGGTGGGGGTTCTGAGGAGTCAGGAGTCGGCTGGGTCGCTTGGCGCTTGAATGTCTGCATTGACGAAAGTCAGCCACCTGGCCCTGAGACGCGCAACTCGTTGAGTCCAGGAACTGAGTCCGTGCTCCTGTGTGTTTCGGTCAGGGCAAGGACAATGAGGTAAGGAAGGGCTCAGGAAGCTCAGGCCTGCGTCTGAGACGTCCCTGAAGCTGCAGAAGTTTGACATAACAAGCGTTCACGGCATTTACTGGCTCCTTGTTTTGTGATTGCCAAGGCATCACACGAGCTCTGCGGTCCAGACAGCAGGAGATGTCATCAGCCAGCATGCGCAGACGGCAGCTGCCAATGTGGCTATTGCTGCTGAGGCGGTTCAGGAGCAGACGCTTCGCTGCACAGAGAGGGGGGTCACGCCAACAGTTTGCCACTTTTTTGCACCAATGCCGCATGCCCGACACCCTTAAAGCCTGCCGGAAACCCGGATGTGCAGCAGACGGCAAAGGGCCTCAGCTCTATCCTAAAAGCCCTACCCACACACACATCGTATCCTAATATTCCTAAGCCGCATACTCTTAAAAACTAAGCCCTAAACCCCAAGCCCTTTTTAGCTAAGCCCTAAAACCTTCAAGCCCAAAACCCAAAACCCTAAACCCTAAACCCTCAACCCTGAAGCCCTAGAGCCCTTCTTAGCCCAGGCTCTTCGGAAGCGCCAGCAGCTCCAGCAAAAGCAGCCGGAGCAGTAGCCCGAGCCCGGAAAAGCCGGAGGCCGCTTTGGAGACGAGGCCTGGGCCGCTTCTGGAGGGTTCATAAGGTGTTTTTTTAGGGGTTTAAGGTTTTTCAGGGTTTTGGATTTAGGGTTTGGGGTTTAGGGTTTTTGAGGGTTTAGGGTTTTTAAGGGTTTTGGGTTTAGGGTTTTTTAAGATTTTTTAGGTTTTTTTAGTTTTTTAGGGGTTTTGGGGTTTTTAGGGATTTAGGGTTTAGGGTTTGGGGTTGAGCCTTGCATTCCCGCTTTCCCAGGTGACCATTCAGGTAGCAGTTTGCAGCGGACTTCATGGACAGGCCTGGCGCGGCATTCTTCTCAAGCTTTAAAGGAGGTTGTCTTAGCATCGAGCCATGGCTCTTGAAGACGTCGTTTATGTGCTCTGCGAAGGGAGCAACAATCAAGCGGTCCCTATCTGCGGGTGGGTCATATCGCTTCCTGGGACGGACGTGGTGGTTGCTACCTCGGATCAGGGCGCTTCTACCCTGCCCCATACAGTGACCCAGACGGTAGGAAGCTTGAAGATCCGCTTTATCAGAGTGCCTCAGGGTTCCTTGACTGTGCGAGCTCCGGTGGGCTGGGTCGGTCCTCGGCCTAGAGACCTGCCGGCTTTGGAACAATGTCTGCAAGCTTGGAAAAAGGCCGAGAAGGCCAGTGTGGAACTGGAGAGCAGTGGAGCCGAGATGCCCAAGAGCGAGCCTATTGGGCGAGCCCGTCGGAGCTTGAGAGAGGACATAAAGGGACTTCAGGGACTTTTTGCAGAAGACGACGGCGACGACGACGAGGAGACAGACGACGAGGACGAGCTGCCGAGTCGAAAGGAAAAGGGCCAGGCTTTCCTTCCTCCCGGTGGTCGTGCCAGGAGCAAGAAAGCCCGGAGCAGCAACGAGAAAGAGCCCGAGAAGTTAGATCTGAAGAAGCTGGTTCGGGACGGGCTCTCCTCCGGAAGCAGCCCGGCGGGTCTGATGCCGCTCTTGCTTATGAGCATGGTTCTGGACAAGAAGGAGCCAAAGCGAAAGAAGCGGGGGCAGGATGGCAGCCGCGATCTGGACCTCCTTGGTTCCTCCGACTCCGACGAAGCCGAAGACGACCGCGACGACAGGCAGCATTCCGGGATGAAGGCGGTAGCTACTCTGCACAAGTTGCAATATCCGCCGAAAGCCCCGGAAGGTCGTGGAGCAGTTCGAGCGCGCGGTCATTCGCGAGCTCGGCATCGTGGAGGGCCAGAGCTGGACACTCCGCGACTGGATTCGGCGACAGCCTTGGGGGAAGTTCAAGGGGTTGCAGCGCACCGCCTATCAGGATGTGGCAGTGTACGAGATGCTGAGGAACGGAGAAAGCCACGCTGCATCAGCGCAAGTGATTCAGAACTTAAAGAGCAAGGTTCAGTGCATCCTGGCCGGGGGCGATTGGACGACGGCATGGCTGCTGACGGGCTTGGAGGACCCCCTCGCAAAGAAGGACTTCGCGGGCTCCAAGCAGGAGGTGGCTGTGGTATCGGGCTACTTGAAGGCCTTGGCCGACCTCAAGAAGCGAGTCAAGGAGAGTACGGGCCCCGATCATGCCGGCGACGACGACGGCGAGGGCGGCGCCACGGCCGCCCGCAAGTGACACCTCCACATTGCATGGCAGACAGGCCGGGGAAGCAACTTGTGCATCCGGCCTTGGTCTTTGGGAATTCAAAGTTCGTTTCTTATGCGGTTTGGTTTGAGGGTGCCCAAGGTTTACTACCGGAACGGTCCGGTGACTTTTCTTCGCTTTTTCCGTGGGCCCTGCCCTATCCTGAAGCGCTCTTAAGTGAGCGCGTCATGGTGGACGATGCCGGTGCTCAAGAATGGTGGTCCATGGCCTTCGTGAATACGTGGGTGGCCTGGGGCAACTTCGTGACATTGGGATGCCCGTCTCCGGGTAGCAGTGCATACGAGCCGCGAGTGAGCTATAAGAGCCGAGCAGAAGCCAGAACTTTTGCCGACCAGCTCCTTGGCGAGGTGAGGGAGTTTGCGAATTTGGACTTGGTGCTAGGATGTCTCGGCTGCTCTGGGAAACGGGGTTGTATAGAAGAGATGCTGCAGCAGGTTC